CCTGATATATTGCAAAATGATTGCCACCATAGGACTAGCTAACACCTGCATCTCGCCACGTAGTTACCGTTTCTTTCTTGTGGTGAGAACATTTAACATCCACTATCTTAGCAACTTTCAGGTATATAACAAAGTAGGAATTCTTAAACATTCTGGCATGAAGTCCCTTAGTTGGTATGTTTTGTGAATACTTCCTCCAGTCTTTGACTTGTCTATTTATTTTCTTATCGGCAAAGTTTAAAATTTTTGATAAGGTCTGATTTATCAGTGTTTTTGCATTGTAGTTTCTGCTTTCTGTGTCTTGTCTAAGAAATATTTTCTTTCCCTAAGGTGGTTAAGATATTCTGTTTTATCCTTTAAACTTTTAAGTTTATGTCTTTGCTTTATTTCCGATGTTTGAAAAACCAGATGTGTACGTTACATTTAATATTTAAAAAATAACTAATTAAAGGGAAACATGTAAGAGAGTCAGTGGGAGCTGCACTTGGGTTTTGAAGCCCAAGATGTAACTTGGTTGTGTCCAGCCAGGTGGCCTTGGGCAGATCACTCCCCAGGGAACAAAATGGGCCAAAGAGTATAGCAATGGCCCACTGAGGGTCTGTATAGGTAAGTGGTTTTGAAACCTAATTGGAGAAGGGTGCGGCTCAGCGGTGAGGACACACAGCCCACTAGAGCTGGCGTCCAAGAAAACACAGAACGTCCCCCACATAGTGATGAAGAAGAGGGCCAGGGTTTCCCCTCCACAGTCCCTCAGCCTTCTCTGCTGGGCAGTGGGGGTCAGCTCTTGGCTGACAGTTAGCCTTTCAGCCACAAGAGGGCACTGTGCGAGCAGGTTTCTAGGCCAGCTAGGCGCTGCCTTGCAGCATGGATTCGGTGCTGGGTCCAGACAGCAAAGGTGGTGGTGTATTGGCTTTCCAGCGGCAGCGGGAGGCTTTATAAGTCATGTGTGGTCACACGGAGAGGTGGAGAGGTGGAGAGGAGGGCAGAGCAGTGCCTTCACCGGTGATGTAGAAGGCCCAGCCAGTGTGACCCCTCCAAGCTGGAGGCCTCAAGGTGGTGCCATATCACAGCCCAAGGGCCAGGAAGGGGCTGGTGGAGGAACGAAGGTAGAGGCCACTGGGCCATCATCAGACAGGGCCCACTTTGGCCCAATACCATGAGGAAACTTGGACACCAACATGGGGCCATGAAAGTCCCTGGACCCTCGCTCTCATGCCCAGAGCCACCAAGCTATTTCAGCTGTTAATGTGCTGAAAGGGGAGCTATGGAAGATCAGCGCTGCTCCTCACCACAGGGTCAAAGATGCAGTGGCCTGGGGCTACATCAACACCATGTAAAAGATTTCCCCACACCGGGACAGAAGGTGGCCAAGGCCAGTCTCCTCCTAGGGAAGTAGCTTCAGGACCACAGGGTACTAGGCTGGGAGGTTGGAGGGAATCACTGTTTGTAGTTGCAGCGGCCACAGCACTGGGCCCACTCCAGACTCATGCAGGTGAACTCGTCATCTGTGGGGTTGCCAGAAATCGTACCCAAATCCATCCCAGATGCTCCCTTTCCCGATCCCTTAAAAGCTCCCATTGTCCTTTGAGCTTCTCAGTCTGATAGCTTGAGTCCTCCCTGACTTGACTCCTGAAAACACCTTTATCTTTTGACTCACCCACCTTGGGAGGCCTGAAGACACGGTTCCTGTAGTCTGATGGAGCCCAGATCTGCCCTGCTGTGTTTGCATTCCTCCCTCTGCCTGGAATGTCCTCCTCTATCTTGTCTACCTGATAAGCCTGAGTCATCCTTTAAGACTCTGCTCAAGGGGCACCTGGGTGTCTCAGTGAATTGAGTGTCCTACTTCAGCCCAGGTCATGATCTCACGGTTCATGAGTTCAAGCCCCACATTGGGCTCTCTGCTGCCAGCACAGAGCCCGCTTCAGATCCTCTGCCCCCCTCTCTCTGCCCTTCCCCTGCTTTCACTGTCTCAAATATAAATACACATTTAAGGGGAAAAAAAAGATTCTTCTCAGGCATCATCTTTCTTACAAAGCCTTACCTGGTCAGCTCCAACCTGGCTGCAGGTAGAATGCTTGGCCACGGAACAAAAGTACAGGGTGCTGAGCACAAATCTGTTCCCCCCTCTACTCCCTGCCGAGACAATCCTGATTTTGCCCAAGTATTCAGTCCTCAGCAAGGTGACCCTTCCCCTAGTCAAGGATAAACATGGAAGAGGCCAAGCCCAATATGGTTCTGGCCATGTCTGCATGGCCCACTGGACTGGTGGTTGGTGGGTGGGAAGGGCTGAGCTCTTCCAAAGGGACTCAGACAGGGACAGATCCTGCTGGGCTTGTTTGTCATTGCATGGTCAAAATCTGAAGCAGGGCCTGGTGCTAAGCAGGTGTCACAGGAGTTGAGAGAAGCTGTCTTCTCCATCAGATCTTTTAGGACTATTTTCATTAGGGCTGGTGAGTAGGTTTCCCTCCTCCCAGAGTCTAAGAGGCCCAGGGTGTCTTCTTAGACTCAGAGGTGATGAAGGATTAATTCAGGTCCCGTGGCTAATTGGGTCTTCTGTCCCCAAAGCCTGTACTCTTGTTTGTTTTTGTTCATTCAAAATCATTCATCAAATGCCTGCTATATGATAGGCATGGAATGTTCAGGAATGGATAAAACCAAGTTCCTGTCCTGCTGGGGCTCCTAGCCTTTTTGAGGGACACACATAAACAGGTAATTATCCTCTGATGCCATAAGGGCATGGATTCTTCAGAACAGAGAGACTTATTAGTTGCTCACAAGAGCATCCACTCTGGACAGTTTAAGCAGAAAAGGAATTTATGAAAAGCCACAGGACAGCTCACAGAATCCTGTGCCAAATGAAAATGATGTCTCAAATCATGCCATGAGACAAAGCCGAACTCAGTTTACTAGATCAGGTCCTCCTTCCCTACCAGCTGGTATTACAGAGGAAGAGACCAGGTCTAGCTTCTGAGGATAAGGAAGCTTGGATCTGAGGATTGAGAGGGAGTTTATTAACATATGATTTCCTGTAGAGAGGTACAGATAACAGTTTTCATTATAGAGTTATGGCAAGGCTACAATCAGGGAGCACCTAGCTTCTCCTTTTCCTCCTTTGCTGAACTCAAACTGATCAGACCCCAAAATATTTTTTACATTATTTTTTAATTTCATTTTTTACATTTACATCCAAATTAGTTAGCATGTAGTGCAACAATGATTTCAGGAGTAGATTCCTTAATGCCCCTTGCCCATTTAGCCCATCCCCTCCCCCTCAACCCATCCAGCAACCCTGTGTTTGTTCTCCATATTTGAGTCTCTTATGTTTTGTCCCCCTTCCTGTTTTTATATTATTTTTGCTTCTCTTTCCTTATGTTCATCTGTTCTGTGTCTTAAAGTCCTCATATGAGTGAAGTCATATGGTATTTGTCTTTCTCTGACTGACAGATTTTGCTTAGCATAATACCCTCTAGTTCCATCCACGTAGTTGCAAATGGCAAGACTTCATTCTTTTTGATTGCCGAGTAATACTCCATTGTAGATATATCCCACATCTTCTTTATCCACTCATCCATCAATGGATATTTGGGCTCTTTCCATCCTTTGGCCATTGTTGACAGTGCTGCTATAAACATTGGGGTGCATGTGTCCGTTTGAAACAGCATACCTGTATCCCTTGGATAAATACCTAGTAGTGCAATTGCTGGGTCGTAGGGTGGTTCTATTTTTAATTTTTTAAGGAACCTCTATACTGTTTTTCCAAAGTGGCTTCGTCAGCTTGCATTCCCACCAGCAATGCAAAGAGATCCTCTTTCTCTGCATCATCGCCAACATCTGTTGTTGCCTGAGTTGTTAATGTTAGCCATTCTGACACCAAATTATTTTTAAGAATACAGATGCATTAAAAAGAAAAAGGAAAAAAGAAAAAAATCCCAGAGCAACTGTAAAAGTACCTGAGGACTATGTCTGTTTTATCAGAAGTGCCCAAAAGGTTATTCTAGCAAAAATGATTTGGAGGTGCAGAGGATACTTTCAGTGCCCTGGCCATGTCCCCTTTCCCACCTCTGTGCTCAGGTTTGTTTCAGCGCCCCCCTCACCCCCATGACAAGCTTTTAAAGATCACATTTCTTTTATGAACGCGGACAAATTAAGTTGGGCCTGGTCTGGCCACTGATAAAAATCCAAAGGCACTTAGATTTGAACGTACAAGTCTTTATTATTCTGAAAAGCACAACCCAGACATCTCAGCTTTAGCTGCCATTGCCATTTGGTTGGAATGAGAGATGCTCCCTGCTCATGTCAGAGGAGGAAAGAACAGCTCCTTTGATCAAGGATTGGATAAGCCTGGGCCCCTCAGAACACAGCATCCCTGGGGTGGGACATCGATTTGCAGCTTTCTCTATTAGTTAGACAGCAAGGGAATTTTTATTCTACCTACAGCCTCAAGTTGTGAAGGGTTTTTAGAGGAGGCTCGTGAATGAATGTGAGGGACCTCCCAGTGGGCCCGAATGTGTGTGTTTCTCTCTCAGCGGCTCACATGCATGGGCTCTGAAACACATGGGTTCCTCTGGCCTCCCTGGTGGCCTTTCAGAGAGGCATATCAGCTGAGACGCTTATGCAAATTCCATATTCTCTGGTCTTCGCAGATCTTGATTTAGTACATGGGGTGGGGCTGTGTACCTGCGCGACCTGGGCACAGGTGACTCTGGCACAGCTTGGGAAGCTCCTTGTGTGGAGGAAGAAACAACCCCTTCACACCAAGGTGTCTGCCAGGCCAGATTATACTCAGGTTGGCAATGTGCTCACACCCGGAACTGACTGGGGGAGGGGGCAGTGGAGGGAGGAGCCCCAGGCAGAGAAGCTGGCTGGAAAGCACTAGAAGCTGGGAGACAGAAGACTGAAAGGCAAGTTGGGCCCCCCCCCACCCCCCCAATCCATGGCCAAGGTTGAGCAGGCAAGGCCCTGTGGCTCCGGCTTCTTGGCCTTTGCCCCACTCTGAGCCTTCAGGAATCACTGCCCACCAGGTTCAGCAGGGCGTTCTTGTAGTCGCCACTGGTGTCTCCCTGAGGACAGGAGGGACAAGAGAGTCACAGGGGTATCTGTCAGCTGCGGTTATTACTACAAGTCATGGTCTTCGGGAAGAAACCTGGCACATCCCCTGTGGGTTCCCATGACACAGGCCCACGCTATGTCGCCCACCTTTTCTTGTTTTCCATTTCAGGCTATTTCTTTGTATCTCCTTTTGATTCTCTTATGAGTACAGGGGAGCTTAATGTAGAAAATGAATCACAGACACAGTTCTGCTCTGGAGCAAGGAAGGCATTTGGATGGTCCCCTACCCCCGTCAGCTGTCCCAGGACTCTTCCCCATGTCAGGACCTGGGCAGGACCCACCACTCATTTATTTGACATGACCCATCATTTATTCAACACCTCCTACTGCAGATCAGGGAACCGAGGTTGGAAGTAGGGCCCCCAGGGCCATATACCCATACCCACATACCTAGAGGCAGTGGGGGAGGTGGTGAGAGCCCGGCTTTGGGTCCACGCAGAACCCAGACCACAGCTCTGTCACTCACTGACCCTGTGGCTGAGGCAAGTCCTGTCTCCACCCTGAGACTTCTGCTCATCTGTCAGCTGACGTTGATGCTGATACGAGCGTTGCTGAGATGTGCTGAGGAGTGACTAGCAGGGGAAACGTGGGCTTGCCTACATAGCAGGTGGCTCACATAGGGGGGCAGCAGCTGTCTCCCAATAGGATAGACCCCACCAGGCCAATGGCTGAACCCCATATGTGTGGTCTACCAGTCCCCCTTAGCTATGAGGCGGGTCCTGATAGGTCTGGCTGGTCCAGGATCTGCACACAGAGCCAGGGAGAACAGGGGAGGGCATATCACCAACTCCCTTTTTATGCAGTTGAGGAAAAGCGGAGGGTGAGGATATAAGTGATAGGGGTGGGCCAGTTCCCCTTTCCTATGCGCTACAGCAGTTTATGCCTCATGGGAATCACCAAGTCCTTATCGGTTTAGTCAGCTTTGCTTGTGCAATCATTTGGGCGTGAAATTTTCTTGTAGATTTTTAACCACATTTAAAATTTCTTCCTTCCTTCCTTTCTCCCTCCCTCCTGTCCTTCCTCCCTTCCTCCCTCCCTTCCTTCCTTCCTCCCCCTCCCTCCCTCCTTTCCTTCCTCCCTCCCTCCCTCCTTTCCTCCCTTCCTTCCCTCCCTCCTTCCTTCCTTCCTTCCTCTTTTACTATTCACAAAACAATTTTTGTAATATAGCATTTTTGTTTCTGTGTTATTTTGCTTTTTTTCAGAAAACTATTCATGGTGTCTATCTTTTTAAATGTGTGGGTATAAAGTTATCCATGGTTTTGTTTAAAATTTTCTATTAATTTCTATACAGAAGTTTTTAATGTTGATATCACCATTTGGGCATCATTTTTGCTTTGATGACAACTACAGAGAGTGGTATATATTAAAAAGAAAATATTTGGCAATTCCAAGTAAATTTTCGTAAGTGACAACAGTAGGCAAAACCTAATGAGGGCGGGCTTTCTTGTATGTCTAGACGGGGGACTAGATCATCGATGATATTTTTCAGGCGCTAATTAGCCTGCTAAGTCTCCATCATGAAGTCTACACACTGGATGCATCAAAGTGATCATTTTCGCTCAGTGTTTTTGTTCCTCTGAAGTCTGACCGTGGCTCAATCTAACTGTGATGGTGAGAAGGTAGAGACATTTCCCTGGTGCCATAGAAACCATGTATGGTTGAAAATTTCCCTAACACTCTCCTGGGACTGGAGGCTGGGAAAGCCATTGCTGCAGGTGACACGTCAGGAGCCAGGGCTGGGTTTTGGGCAGCCCTCCTGTCTTTTGACAACACTGGCTGGAAAGCCAAAAACAAAACATAGAATAATCCCACAGTCCTTCACCCCCACCTGCCCCTGGCCCATCCTAAGACATTTTAAAGTAGAAATGTCTTGGGGCGCCTGGGTGGCGCAGTCGGTTAAGCCTCCGACTTCAGCCAGGTCATGATCTTGCGGTCTGTGAGTTCGAGCCCCGCGTCAGGCTCTGAGCTGATGGCCCAGAGCCTGGAGCCTGTTTCCGATTCTGTGTCTCCCTCTCTCTCTGCCCCTCCCCCATTCATGCTCTGTCTCTCTCTGTCCCAAAAATAAATAAACGTTGAAAAAAAAAATTTAAAGTAGAAATGTCTTTTTACCATACTGTGAGCTATGTGTTTCTTGGAAAGAGTGGCTGACAACAGATATTTGTAGAATAACTAGAGACTTGACTTGACCCAATGGAGACTTAGGGGTATACTTCTCGAGGTTTGACTTCTGCTCATGAAACTGTCAAGACCTCATTTGCATTAATAACTAGAAGAGCTATTACAAAATTACAGCGGTGTGATTATCACTGCATTTTCTCGGGTCCAGAAGGTTTACTGACTAGCATCTGGTTTGGTAGTGTGCTGGAGCCCATCTGACTTATCTCCTTAAAATCATGCTGCTAGGACTAGATGTGAAGTCTAGATTTGAAAGCTACTGCCTCAATTCCTACCAAACTATATACTGTCATTGACATTCGGACGTGGCTTCCTCCCTCTGAAAGGATTCAGTGTGTCATTTTCAAAGGGACGACCATAGCTCGAACGCAAAGCCAGCTCCGGGTGTGATGTACACGGGCCTCCATGATCTGGTCTGTGCGCACCTGCCCAAGTCCCCTCCCAGCCCTAGCCACACTCACCCCCTTGCCAATCCCTGTACACACTGCATGGCAATGAATGCTCAAGTGTGACACCCACTGGGAAGGGATGGACACATGTGACTTAGGACTTTGGTCACAGCATCCAGGCCTCCCAGTAATGCCTCCGTTTCAAACTAGTGGTAGAATCAGGAACTCATGGCTTACCATGATCATGCTGCTGAGGGTCTTGCCGTACATCTTCGTGAACTGACACTTGATAAGATTTAAGTCAATTTCGCTTCTTGAAACGATGTTTCTTATCAGGGTTCCATCACGCGTCCCTGCTCCCTGGACAAGACGCAGCAATCAACAATCACTGCTGGCCCTTCTGGTCCATCTCTGTGATGAGGGACGCATCTGTGCTTTGGGTGCAGGGGGCCTTACGGGGGGATGGAGATGCAGGAATGAGCCTCTGCTTCATCGGGTGAAGCACTGAGAGGGGTACTTTCGTAGCTCAGGATCTCCATTCCCTCAATCTCTTCTCCCTCACTGGCCCACATATCAGCACCTATTGGGAGCCAGATGTCCCAAAGTGCACTGTGTGTTGGCTTTGCCACGTCAGATTCTAGGCACAGAATACTCACCACTACAGGAATACGACGTCTTCCTAGGGTAGCGACATCATGAAGCTCGGCTCAACTGGCCAAGTCACAAGCAGGACCTTCCTGCTTACTTTCATCTTTGACTAGTCTCATGTCAGATGGCCAAGGGAACCCCATGCCCTCTCTCACTTCCTGGTCATAGAACTTAGGACTCTAATTGCAGGTGGTACCAACAAGCACAGATCAGAGAAGGTGGCCACTGACTTCAGTCTCAGGGAATCACTTTGAATGTCTATCTTCCAGTTTGGTTCCAGGTGCCGGAAACTTCACCTGATACAAGTGGCTTGGATGTCTGTTTGAATGGCTAGTGCAGCCTCTTGGACAACAGACAAACCCAGATTGGCATATCTGAGATGCACACGAAAGTTGAGTGCTGCGTGTGACAATCTCCCTCTGAATTTCCATTCAAAGGGCGCCTTGACTTCCTGCTCTCTCCAGGAGGTCACATGGTGGGATAAAAAGGACAGGTGGCCTGGCTTGGGTTCAAATCAAGACTCTGCCACTTATCAACTGTGTGACCTTGACCACAAGCCCTACTTTCACCATCTCTAGGATGGCAGCTATGACACAGGTCTCACAGGATTGTGATAGAAGATCAGTGCAATGAACACCTGCGAAAACACCTGCTCAGATTCACCCTCACGAGGTGTGGATTCCCTTCTCTGGACTCAGTTTGCCCTTTGAGAACTACAGCATTCTGATCACAAGAGGTTGGAATAATAGAAGACACAGTGTTGAAGACGGTAGTGGCTCTGAACACCTTGGCTTTGTAGTTGGTGCCGAGTAGGGCTGACAATAAAGGGCACAAAAGGCAGAATAGTTACCTTCAAGGCGTAGTAAAGTCGCTCTGCAAAGTAGCTGTGGAGGTTCCGGGTGCATTTCACTGACAAACAAGAAAGCTCTGTTAACACTAGAGGTTGTAGGTGGCATTGTGTACATGTTTATTTATTTATGTCCTGCCTTGGGTCTTAAGGGCCAGCATTATGCAATTCTTGGCCTATTTATTTATGCTTTGCCTTGTTCAAAAACAAGAGGCTTTGCATTGGGTGGGGCGGGACAGGGAAGGAAGCCTGGGGCACTGGGCACAGGTCTGAAGGCACAGAGCAAGCAGGCAAAGCATGAGGTGTAAATGCACTGGGGTCCACAGGGCCGGCCCGTGGGAGGCTGGTTCTGTCCAGGGCAGCCCCTAGGCTCTTACACTCCAGAGCCAGCTTTGCCAAGAATCCGGCCACTCAGCTCCACAGAAGAGCCATGGTTATAGTGACCACCGGCCTCGGAATGTCCACTTTACCTGTCGCTTATCAGTAAGGTCCCTGCATTTGAATTTCCATGTGACAGATGGGGCCCAGCCCCAGAGCACTAAGGGCATCAGAGAGTGGGCCCCACACTCGCTTTCATAGATGCTGCTGCAGAGACTCGGCATCTGGGTCAGGGAGGTTGGCACTCTAGCCCAGGGCAGCAGAAAGAGTGTGGGCTTTGCTTGAGGTAGGCCGGTGTTCGACAGCCTGCTGATGGCCTGGCATGACTTCATTGTCTGACCTGCCTGCCTTACCCAGTCCTCATCTGCGAGGGGGATGATGGGAGTCTTCAAGGAGAATAGGAAGCGGCCAGCACAGGAGGGAACTGCACACCCTGCTTTTCCCTGTCCGAAGATTTACCAGGAGGTCGTTCAAACTCCATGCAGGGGCTGACTCACTGAGATTGGAGCGGGGGGTATGCTGAGATGCTCCGACATAGACGGGTTTTTATCACAGCGGTCAAAGCCTGCTGGGGAGTGTCAGATGCCCCGGGCCACCCTGCAAGACCCAGGCACACCGTGGAGCTCCCCTGACTGTCCAGCACCGGACGGGGACAGCCTGGTGTGGAGGTGAGTGTCCTAGCCCCGGGGCCCTGACCTTGGCTGCATCATGGCGGGGAGGAGAGGAAAAGTCCCTCGCCCCTGGGCCTCAGCTCTTTGCTGTGCCACGGTTCCCCTCCCTGTGATCTCAGTTCTGGCCCCCAAGATGTGGTCAAGCTTTAGGGAAGGTTCTCAGTGCTCCCCAGCATCAGCCCATCAGTGACTCAGTTTGGACTCCAACTATGCATCATCATTTCTTCGATGAGCAACCAAGGAAGAGACTAGGCTGCTGGCTCAGGTCTAGACAGGTGGCTTTCTTCAGGGCTTCACAGCCAGATCCAGAATATTCCCTGTGTGGCTGTTGGAGGGGAGCACAGGCCCTGGGTCTGACATAATCCTGCAAATGCACACACACATTCACATACTCACTTATTCTCACATGCCTCCTGCTCACACTCACACTCACACTCACACTCACATAGCACAGGGATTACGTGGGCAGTACCGAGAATAGTCCTTGGTGGGACACGCCACACGGAAGACACGGGGGGTAGAATAATTCCAGTGTCCTGGGCTGAAGGGTACATGTGTGTGGCCTGGAGGTGGCCAGCGGTGGTCCCTTGAAGGTGGACGTAGGGACCCAGTTGCTTGCTATTGCCACCCCGGGCACTGCCCCACTGCCGAGCCCCGTGACTGTGGACACCCGCGTGTCTGAGCACCGAGCCCCATCTCTTACCCACTGTGAGCATGGCCTCCTCCAGGGAGCCGTGGGTCTCACTCTTGATGCTGTCCTCAATGCTCTTGCTGGCGATTTTCTCATATTCCTCAAACACTGTAGAGAGACATCCTCTCTTAAGGGATATGCGGTCTCAGTGCGACACCCCCGGCGTCTCAGATCAGAGACTGCATACCCACGTGCCGCCCCTGACTTCCACCTGTTTACTGGGGAAAGGGTCCCTTTCCCTGGCTCTCAACCCAGCTGCATGACTAGACAAGGATGCACACTGGATAGTCAGCGTGAAGGGAGAGGCCCTGTGGCCAGGGCGCCCTGCGCCGCCTTACATTGCCTCCTTCCTTCCCCGGTACCTCTCATCAGGTGCGTGGCACTGCGTGTGCACAGGATGGTGATGAATTTCATCTCGTCAGTCCCGTGAATCTTCTCGCCCGCGGCGTACAGATCCTAGCATTGGGACAGCCGCAACAAGCCAGTGAAGGGGAGCATGGAGGTGAGGTCCCCCCACCCCCCGACCCACCCACCAGGTCGCTTAAAATCCCTTCTGGATACCGGGCCAGAAGCCACTCTGCCAGCTCCCCTGCCTCCCCCTGGGGCTTTGCTCTGCCTCTGGGCATCTCCAAGCACTCTGCCAGCAGGCAGAACTATGGCGATCTGAATGTGCCCAGTGGGTCCTCAGAGGCCTAGAGTCCCCAGGTTGGGCTGTTCCAGGACAGAGCTCCAGTGGACCCCTCCCAAGTCACTCCCCTTCTTGCTTTCTGAGTGTCTCCGACACCCTCACTTTCCTCCTGGGACACCAAGGAGATAAAGGTCTGCAGAGAGCGGGGCTGCGTCCTGGCCTAGCTTAGTGCCAAAGAGAACCCGGATGGGCAGAGGGGCTGAGTGAGGCTTCCAGGCATCAGCCCCAGGAGTCTAGATGGCAGAGGGTGGGGCAGGAGGCCTGCAGGGCAGAAGCAGCTGAGGGTGTATGTAGCCTCACCTGTGCATCTTGGACGGCCAGTCCTGGGTCCACAAAGCCGCTCACGTCATCCCTGCTGCCCTAGGAACAGAAAAAGTGACTATGTAAGGCAGGCTAGCCCAGCAGAGCAGCTGAGGCAGAGGGGAGAGCTGGGCAGGAGGGAAGGCAGGGCTCTACAGCTTTCTGGCCATGGGCACTTCAGCAGGCCAGTTACCCTGCCCGGGGCCAGGTTTTTTCATCTGTAAAATAAGAGTAGTAAGGGCTGCCTCCGAGGGAGCTGGGGGAATCAGTGAGCTAAGGTAAGCAGAGTGCCTGGCAAGGGCTGTGTGTGTGAAGCACCCTCTAGGGGACAGGGCACTTTCCTCCCAGTTCTACGGCGCCCCCATGTGGCTGTCAGGGAGGTGCAGGTGTGAGAATCCTCCAACCACGCAGGGAGGTAGGTACCCAATGAGCCCAGGCCGCTGGGGCTGTACCTCGGCCCTCGCTCCACCCCACCCCAGCAGCTCTGCCCAAGAACTGCTCCCCGGGGCCCAGCTGATGGGGTCCTCCAGGCAAGGGGCTCCCAGCAGCCTGGGCTGTGATACCTGCAGGAGGCACACCAGGATCCTCTCCAGGTAGCCGCTGGTGTCTGCCTGGATGTCTTCCTCCAGGCTGGCCCCATAGTCTGCAGGGGAGACAGGACCGTGAGGCACAGACCCGCTTTCCTCCTCCCAGCCCCATTCCCCACGCTTCCCCCAGTTAAAGCCTTCTGGTAAGAATGAGTCACGTGGAGTGGACATACTCCCCAGGTGTCTGAATGGCAGAGGCCCCACCTCCTGGTGGTCACTCAGAATGAGGAAGCAACACAGACTGCCAGCCCAGCTCCGATCGCAAAGGTGGGTCAGGCCAGAGAGCCCCTCCAGGGGCTGCCTCCTGAGCTCTGCTTCATGTGCAGTTTGGCAAAGCCAGAGCCTTCAGGCACATTGCCCACTGGGCAGACCACGGGGAGGACATGCTGGCCTCCGTTTGCCTTGCATCCTGCAGACTCCACGATAGCTGGCCTGTGGTCTACACCCCCCATTGCAATGGGGCCCCCGCACGGTCCCCAGGGTCAGCCTGCGTCCAGCCAGGAAGGAGCCAGCCCCATCCAGCACGGACACAGCCCGGGGCCCACCGCACTGCCATGCCCTCAAGGGGCAGAGAGTTTAGGGTGCGTGCCCCTCTCCCCCAGCAGCCCGTGGGCTTCAGGGGGCTTAGAGACCATCAGGCACAGGACTGGGCATACAGTAGGTGCTTAGCACCCATGTGTGGAAAGGCCCAGAAAGGGTCTCTTCCAGTGTGGCTCAGTGCACCGCTTGTCCCTCATCCCCTGCCAGGCTGACAAAGCCTGTGGCCATTTCCAAGTGAGCCTCGACCTCAGGCCTCACACCTTCCCTCACCTTCCTCGTAAGCCTTCATTATGTCCTGCAGCTGGTTCTTGGTCCGAGAAGCCAGGATTTCAATGATGACGCCCTCCTTGGTTCCCAAGCCCTGTGGATAAAAACCTCTGTCTGCTGGAGAGCTCTGCCCGTGCCCTCCTGCTCTGTCCACACCCTCTTAACTAGAGGCAGAACCGGTCACTGCTCTGCCCCCTCCGATGGGGGCCTTCACTGGGGGGTGTTTCTGGAGGAAGTTGCACGTGTTTGTCTCCAGTGGTGGATCCTGTGGGCAGGTGAGGCGATGGGAAAGTTCTGTTTTGGCTCTGCCCTCCATGCTGGTTGGTCTCCAGCTGGGTCTCTCCACCTCTCTGAGCCTAAGGCTTCTCTCCTCGGGATAAAAAGCTGCCCACCCCGAAGGAGGATTAGAGATAACAGATGTCAAATGCTGGGGCCGCACACCCAGTGAGTGTCCTTTCTATGGAGATGATTCTTCTAGCCGGACCCTGATTCCCTCCTTGATCATCTGCGAGGGCAGAAGGAGCAGTGGGAGTAATAGGAAATCCGAGAGACCAGGCAGAGACCGCAGACGTAGCTCTCTATTTCTTGCACACCTGGTCTGGCGCTGTCCTGAGAAGTGCTGAGTTTGGCTTCCTCATGGCGGGGGGGACGGCAGAGGCCAGCCGGTCTGGGTGTGGGGGCAGTCTGGGCAGCAGGCTGCAGGCTCAGCTGGCCCGGTCATTTCAAAAGGTGGCTCAAGGGGAGCTCGGAGCTCCCAGTGCCAGGCTCTCTTGGGAAAGGTGTCCCAGGCAGCGCCCCCACCCAGTCCTCCTAGGTGTTTCTGCCCCTCCCCCACCCCACCTGCTTAGTTACCTTCATTGCATCGTGCAGCTCCTTGGCTTCGTATCTGTATGGTGGGTACATGAGGGCCACGATGAGCCTCTCAAACTTGCCACTCAGCTCTGACTTCAAGGTCTCGGTGAGATCCTAATGCAAGAGAAGGAAGGACAATGTTCTGGGTGTTCTGCCCACCTGAGTGTGGACAGCAGGGTGCCAGCCAGTCCTGGGGGCTCTGGCTGGACTCCCCTGTGGGCTCTGCCACGCGCTGGTGCTGGCTGGGGTTTCTTGGGCCAACCGCTTTGCCTCTCTGAGCATCATCATCCTTACCTGTGAAATGGAGACAGAGATGCTCCTGCTTTATACCATTGCTTAGGGGACTGGCCGAGAGATGTGTGTGGCTCGACTCAGCTCTCAGTGCAGTGCTGGGCCGAAATACACATTTATCATTGCTCATCATCAAATCCCGTCACAGCCCATGGGCACTGAATAGATGCATGATTGAATTAAGGAATCTATCTCATGTGTGTCTCCTTCTAGGGACACTGGTCTCCAGAAGATCTGCACGACACAGCAAAGGACCAAGGACCTCGTCAGACCTGGATTTAAATCCCAACCTTGTTGCCTGTAGGCTCTGGGATCTTGGGTCACTTATTCTACCTCTTAAAACATCAGTTTCCCCTAATGCTGAATGCAGAGAATAATGCCAGTTGTGAAGATTAAGAGAAAGAAATTTAAAAAAAAAAGTTAAAAAGGACACTGGTGCCCCCTGGAATATTTAGACTTCATCATTCACTTTCCTGCGTCAAATCTTCCAACTCATGACATGCGTTGGTGGAGGCTTCCTCCAGCCACGGCTATGTGTGCCTTTGTTCCTGTGTTTGGCTAGTGCCCCAGTGCCTGGCTCTGACCCGGGCTGGAGGAAGGAAAAGGGAGAGAAGGAGGGTCCAGCCTGTGTGCTCCCCGGAGCTCCCTCGGGGCAGAGGGAGGAGGCACGGGGCACAAGAAGCTCCAAAATGAAGGGAGAGTCCTGTGCCATAGAACGGAGTGGAGCTTGGCCTGCACCTCTGTGCGTGGGCAAGAGAAGGGCATTCCAGGCTGTGGGAACAGGGTGAGCAAGGTACAGAGGCCGGGAAACAGCTCAAGGACAGGGCTGTGGAGCCAATGTCAAGGAGCTCGGTGAGAGAGACGGGGGTGGAGAGGAGGAGGTGGGCAGGCTGGACTGTAGAATGTCTGACACCAAGCCAGGGGTGTGAGGAGCCATAGGTAGCTTTTCCCAATAAAACGCAGGATGGCTAGTGAAATTCTAACTTCAAATAAGCAATTAATAATATTTTTGGTGTAAGCGTGCCCTATCCGCCCCATGGTTCTAGAAGCTGGCCTCGAGACAAGGGCCTCACCCAGAACAGAGCTGCACCCCCCCCAGGCTGTCTCCAGCCACAGCAGTGCCCGCCCACCCCCACCCCGAGGAAACCGGACTCCCGTCCCACCCCTACCTTGCCAAACTGCGCCTTGAAGGACTTGGCGATCTGTTGCCGCTGTGCGTTGCTTCTCTTCGTGAGCACATCGATGATGGCCTGCTCGTTGGTCCCTGCAGGGGGGCACAGTGTGAGCACCCCCACTGCTCCCAGGGAGGCTGGAGGCTGAGCAGGAAGGAGGGAAGCTGCCTGGTGGCCAAGAAGTGGGCACACACCTCCTAGATAGCTCCAAAACCTGACGATTTCATGGTGTCGATAAGACACCTAGGCCGGAAATCCTTCTGTCCTTTCCCCACCTCCTACCCACACAGTGTTGGGGTGCTGCCTGGGGCCGGTCTCAGGGTGATAGAATCTGAGGACCCTCTGGTCATCTGGTCTGCTCTGGACGTCGCCTGGGGCCTTTGGAGCTTGGACAGTGAGACCTCCCATCCTGTCTTCTCTTGTGCTAATGGCATTGGGGAGAAATAAGACCGAGGGCCTGGCAAACTGGATCTTAGTCCCATCCCAGCAGCCCGTGGGCAAGCAGTCTCATCTCCCCGAGCATCCCTTTCCTCCTTTGGGAAGTGGAGATGACGGCAGAGATCTCACAGGAAGTAGAGGTCATGAGCATGCTGTCAAGATTCACCTAGAAACGGCGCTTCCAGGCCCTGGCTGGATTCAGGAATGTGCACACCGGAGACGAGGAAGGAGGCCCTCTGTGCCCAGCCCAAGCAGAGGGGGGAAGCTGAGTGTCCCAGTTCAGCCCTACAGAACCTTCAGCTTCATCCCTTCCAAAACTTACAGACAGTGACAGGTGGGTCCAGAGTTCCTGAGGCCATTCTGTGAGAAGCCTCAGACCAAGCCGGGTAAAGGTGCCCACCCAGGGACGCGTAGGCACGCACAGCAGATGGCCTCCTCTTCCCGCCCAGGGAGGCACAACCACCCTTCCCCTTCTCCTGCCTTGGGGGGTGGGGGCGCATGTAGACCAGGGCTGGGGGGAGGGGGCCTGTGTGCTTCTCTGGGTGCCGGGAGTCAGTCCCAGACTCCCAGGCTGTCCCCTGACATCCCCTTTGCAGAGCTGTGAACGCAGCGGTCTTGAGCAGAGCGGGCAGGCGCTCCCGAGGGAAGGCGGAGGACGTCCACTCACCAATCCCCTTCATGGCTTTGTAGAGGGTCTCCGCGTCGGGGTCTGGGTTAAAGTGGGGACTGCCCTTGACGGTAACACCCTCCTGTTCAATCTGTAAAAAAAACCCAGGCCTGTTCAAAGTGGGAAGGCAGGGAAGGCAGAGCAGACTGCCAGCCCACCTCGCAGGCTGCCCCTGCAGGGCGAGCGCACAGTTCAGCCTCTGCGGGCCACTGGTGGAGGATCTCAGCTTTCGGTGCCAGCGCCAGCCCTGGGGGGTTGGGGGACACAGACTTGTGAAGGTGGCTGGCACTGTGGCCACTTTCAGAGCCGCCGCCCAACCTCTGGTGTCGGGAGGAGGGAAGAACAAGAAGGAGGTCCTAGGATGGGGGGCTGGCCTGAGAAAGGAGCAGCAGGGGCTTGGGGGGACCTCCTTCAGAGTCCAGCAATGGTTCTATTGGGATGACAAGGGCAATTAGCCACGACGTGCTCCTGCCCACCTGGCTGCCTTCGGAAGAGGCTTACAGTTTCCCTGCCTCAACCTTCTCACCAGACCTGTTCTTGGATCTTTTGTGAGAAGAATCCTGAGGCTGGGGAGGAGGTTTACCTGAGATGATGGGAGCTTGGGAGGAGAAGGGGGGGGGGGCCTGCAGGGTGTATGTACAAAGGAACACGAATGGCAGTATATCCTATGACGTGTAGCTTGGGGTTAGACCTCCTGGGGGGTCTCTGACTCAGGCCAGCCACCCAGGAGTCAGCTGTGTGGGGAAGCTACTATTAAGTGAGGGTTCCCTGAGAGACCACAGCCTGCCTGGCCTGGTTGTGAGGAGTCAGTGGTTCTCCTCTGGACTCTGTGGGACTGCCAGATCACCTCCACAGAACCGCTCTTTGGTTAATAGGCTGGCACCACCCAGAACCACAGCTTGTGGGAGGGAGCCACATAACCTCTCCTGCCCCTGCCCCTGCCCCTGCCCTGGGGTGTGGGCTCCGATCAGGCCAGGCTTCTCCCAGCTAGTGCCATCTGAGGGCAGGGAGCAGGCCCCACCTACCACACCCCCCCCAGCTCCCTCCAGCACGGTTGACAGGCAGTGGGAAAGGACAACGCACCCCAAACCACAAGGACAATGAGCAAGCGAGGACAGGCTTCATGGAGTTGAACGCGCTACCTGGAGAGTGGGCAGACAAGGCTGGGAAGAGAGGCATGGTCTGAGCTCAAGCTGCCTCCTTTCTGAGAAGCGGGTACTTAGAAGAAGGTAGAGAGTCAGGGCACCCAGCTGAGCATCCTGACAGCTTAGGGCCTTTGCAAGTCCCCAGGCTCATGGAGGACAGAAGGTTAGGTTTAGAAAGAGCTGCATGGTACTCTGAAAATTGTGATATAAACAAGATAACCAAAGTACTTGGGCCCTTGACCTGGGCCAAATCTTTAATTCAGGGCTTGCCCGAAGGCTCTTTAGATTTGTGCCCTGTAGAATTTCACAGATGCAAATGAATGATCTTTTTAAAGTATGTGTTTGCGGGAAAGGGATAGTAGAGGAGTGAAGGGAGATTGGACATTGGAATCTGAAGAAGACTCAAGAGATCCTTCAACGGAAAGGAGTTTAGTCCCATTGTGTTTGGTCTCTCTTGCACTTACACACCTACTTCTTCTAACTGCCCCTCATCCACTCATCTACTTTCCCACCTACCCACCCACCAGCCCACTCATTCATTCATCTATTCATCCATTCCCCACCCATTCAACAGCCACATCCACTCATCCATCCACCCATCCATCCACCCATTTAATCACCACATCCATCCTTCCTCCCTCCCTCCCTCCCTCCCTCCCTCCCTCCTTTCCCTTCCTTCCTTCCTTCCTTCCTTCCCTTCCTTCCTTCCTTCCTTGTCCTGATTAGATACAGGGCAGATTGCCATCTGTGGGGTATATATGAGGATATTCCTTTTCAGTAAGAGGTAAAAAGGCTTTCTATACCCTTTGGTTGAATTTCCAATGTCTGGTAACAAATTTTCCTATCTCATTTCTTAGCACCAGGCACAAGAAACATTTCCTTGCTCAAAGCCCATCCAGAAGAGCCTGTGTGGTCCCAGAGTTTGCCCAATTGTGTGCATGAATACATTGTATCCCTTGTTTGTGGAGTCTGAGCTGCTGTTACTACCCGTAGCCATTTGATCATCTCCTTTGGGCCAGGCCCTCTGTGCAAGATGCTGTAGGTGTTGTAAGTGCAATGCTGCACAACTCCTTGACTTCTCCGATACTTGCACTAGGTAGGTATGAATGCCCCATTTTATAGGACAGGGAGTTGGGCTCAGAGCACTTGGCAAGGTGACACAGCTAGTAGGTGGTGGTGTCGGCACTGGTCCCAGAATCTGACTCAGAAGTTGAGCTCTGTGTACTTCCCTCTTTCGATGATGACTATTGATGACTCCACCTTTTCGAGACAGTGAACTTCCCTAGAACCCTTCACTGAAGGAAGCCTTGCCCACAGGGTCTCTGGGGGCTCAAGCTCTGGGTGCCACCCGTGAGGGGCTTTCTCCCTGCCCCCAAACTGGCAGTAAACGTGCAGTGACTGAGTCACTGGGGAGCAGCCCATTCAGCAGGTCTGAGGTCAGCTCGGGCGGTGGTGTTAGTCAGTCGCTCCCAGGGGGGTGGTGATTTTGCAGCATTAAGAAGCCTCAGCCTCTCTGCCCACTCCGAGGTTTTAGGGGATAAAAAGTACAATTATCTGGAATCAGACCCCCGAATATAAGCAGGGAGGGATAGAACTCCAGATCTTCCTATCTGAAACACCGCGCTGTTGGAGGAAGAGTCTGTCTGGGCCCCCTGCCTGGAGTGAGCTTGTCCAGACAGGAACATTTTCACCGAAAGGATGACCACCCTGCCTGAGACTCTATCTGTAAGAGCTCTGTTCAGGGAAGCCGCCACACCTTTACCCTCCCTCGTCATGAGGCTGCCTTGGGAGACAGGACTTCATCTCAGTGAGACAGGCACAGACAGGCGCCCTCTAGCTGATCTTTCACAAGCCACCCCCCGCCCCCACCCCCACCCCAGTCCTGGGCCTGGTCTTCGCTGGCAGCTCAAGCTGTCCCAGGTGGGGTCTACCTGTGATCTTGCTGACCCAAACCAGTTCCCCCCACTGGTTTTGGGGCAGTCAAGGTCCACCGTTTGGGCTCTGGAAATGGGTTTCTCAGAGTCTAACCCAGACTCTAGCACTTACTAGCATGGCCACCTTGGGTACCCGCTGAGCCTCCTGTGTCTCAGTTTCTTCATCTGTGGATAAGAACACTGGCATCTACATTGTAGAGGTGGGACGAGGCTCAAGGGAGATATTGAATGTGAGATGCTTAGAGGGATGTCTGGCACACGATAGGTGCTCAGTGAAGGTCATCATTATCCTGCCAGGTTGGCAGGTTCCCGCAAGGAGGCTTCACCTGCCTGGGGTTCCTGCCACACTGAGAGCAAGGCCCAGAGCCAGGCAGGCTAGGCCAGCAGCTGACAGTGGAAAAGTGCCCAACACCGGGCTCTCCCTGCCACGTCTGCGTCAGGCCAGGCCAGGCCAGGCCAAAACTGGAGGCCACTGTAGCCCCTTGACCTGTCCTGGCTGCTTTGCCGGGGCCCAGACAACTGCCCCACCATTGCCACTAGCTTCCTCTCTGTCCAGGCTTGGTTTGTCTGAACCCAACAACTCCTGGGTTGAGACATTTGTGGCAAAGAGATTTCCTGAAGCGGGATAAGCCTGGGTCACCCACTGCCCCTCACAGACAGCTTGGGGACGGGGGTGGAGAGAGACCTGAATTCTAGCTAGATCCCTGCCTGCTAGCTGTGGGACTGAGCAAGTCACCCAGTGTCTCTGAGACTCAGTTTTCTCATCTATAAAATGGAAAGAGCAGCCCTGATGTCCTGGGGTGCCTGGGGGTGAAATGCAGGAGTCGTGCCTGGGCACAATGTCACCCGCAGGTGTCATCTGCTTGCCCTTTTTGTCCCTGTCTTGTGTTTTCAACTCCTTTGCATGAGATGGCCTCAGACTCAAAGCCAGGTGAAACACTCCCAAGAATCTGTTAATTCAGCTGGGACGCAGGAGACCTGGGGACAGGCTGTGCTGTCTTCCCTGCCTCAGTCCTCCATGACTCTATAAAGCATGGATTTTAGCCACTCAAGGCCCCTGTGGGCCAGGTCCTCCTGCCCTCTCTTCTCTTTCTTCAGTCTTGACTAATAAACACCACTGATCCCCAGAGGACTGCCTGCCTTCCCATGCCCTAAGGTGTAGGCATTGATGGATCCTCCTTCAGCCAATTTGATCGTGTTGCTCATCATCTCAAGGGTCTTCAGTGGCTCCCCATTACTCTTAAGGTAAAGCCCAAGCCCCTTGGCCTGCCATGTGAGGCCTTTTAGGACCTGCCCTGCCTGCTTCTTTAGGTCTCTCTGCCCCCATTCCTCTCTCCTCTCACCCAGGACCCTCTCTGGAGCCACTTCTCTCCAAAGCCAAGCTGCCCACCCTTCTGGGCTTTTGTGTGTGTGTTCCCTCTGCAAGGAACTATCTGCTTGATTCTCCTCAAACACACGGATGTGCACACATACCACACGCATGCACATATGACTCACACATGATAACCCGTAGCTTCGAGCAGCCTGACCCCTCCCTGCCGGGGCTTGTCCTCTGGGCTTCCCCAGCCTCTCAGTTCCCCTCAGTGCATTTCAGGGTTCCTTTATCTGTCTGCCCCCCACCCCCCACTACACACACACACAACTTCTCTCCTGTGAGCGCCTCTAGGGCTGGGACAGTCTCTTCTCTCTTGCTTCCTCAGTGGGCAGTCTGGTGCATGGCCGGCAGGCAGCGTGATTGTTGACTGAGCTGACTTCTGTCTACCGACACCCTGCAGGCACCCAACCTTCCACCTCTGCTTGCTCCGCACTTACCCAGGCTTTCCACCAGGCCATCTTGTTCGCCTCTCGATCGTCTTTCCCCAGGGAGACGAAGTAGAACCGGTCCACCTTCCCTCCGCTCTGAGAGGCACAGGACTGGCCCTCCAGAGGAGAGGCCGGGTTGCTTGGGGTTGGGTGTGGTGGTGCAAGCAAGGCCCCAGGCCCCACCCTGCGCCGCCCCCGCCCCCCTCCCTTTCCCTCTGGGCTCTGCCTGGCTCTGGGTCCCTCCTGTGGCTCCCAGGCCGCACCCAGGCACCGCCCCGGCCTGCCTGTGGAATTCTGCCACTCGCTGCCAGACGTCTGGGCTGTGGCTGTTACGCAGACTGGAAATTCTGAGTCCCGACCTTTGAAGTCCGCACTTAGTAAACATGGCTGTAGTTTCATACTATCTTTACTAGATCCTATCTATATAAAAAAAAGAAGGAAACCACATCTCCCTTTCTTTTATGGCGCAGTTTCTACGCCATTAACAGGGCAGCGGGGAGCCCAGCAAAGGACATGGGCACTGGCGGCCTCCATTTATTGGGGTGTCTCTAAGTCTGGACACCTCTTTAATCACTGCGTGCATTCTGTCCCCCTTATTCTTTGCCTCAACCCCAAAAGCAGGTGTGGGCGCCATGTGCTACAGTGAGAAAGAGGCTCCAGTGTTCAGGTCCTTTGCACAAATCCTGCTTCTTGAGCTGTCATCCACCAGGTCTCTCTGACTTGCTCTGCACCTGCTGTGTGCTGGGCCTCGTAGGACGCCAGCCGAGGGAGGGAGCCAGCTCCCCAGGGAAGAGGTTCATTTTTTTCCTCTCTGGAGCTTGACTTCCCTGGGTCCCCTGACTAGAATGTCCGCAGCACACTCTTTCTACCCAACTCTTAACCCGCCCTTCAGGGTAAACACAGTGGCTCAGGGTTACCGTGAGGCCCCTCCATCCTGGGGAGGCTCTCCCGGGGCTTCCAGAACCCCTGAGTGAAAAATAGCCCCACAGTGGTGTGATTGTTTCATATTTAGTGAAACCTCTCAGGGTAACAGATAAGAGTGATCCCTTGATGCAAAAATCCTCTGGTTTCCTGACCCTGAGTCCAATACTCTTTGTTCCACACGCACGGTGTCCCAGGCTGTTCTTTCTGGAAGTGTGGGCTGGGGTGGGTGGGGACAGAGCTGGATGCATAGGCTGAGGGAGGCAGCCACCACCCAGAGCTGCCTGAAGACTGGGCATCGCTATTGCATAGCGCTGTGCGGTGCCATCAGAAAGTCACATGGACTTTGGGGACCCACACTCCCAGGCTTCTTGGGAGCCCTTTGGGTCAGAAGCGAGGTGCCCTCAATGGTGGGGCTTCTCAGGACTTCAGCTGCCCATGCCCATGTGCATGTGGGGGCGTGCCCATGCTGTGGCATGAGTACGAGTGTCTAGTGAGTGGGTCCCCTCCAGGAGGCTGCGGTTGAAGTCTAGTTATGAGGATGACCTTAGACAGGACTAGTGTGATGGGCCCTGGCAGAGCCCAAAGAGAAATGCTGGACCCTGAGACCAGGACAGGCCACAGAGTTTGGTACAGACACGATCTGGCCCTCTGAGGGGCCATCCTTCTTAGTCTCTTTATTACTACCCTAACTGACCCTTGGGTCTCCTTCCTGGGCCCTCTGTTCTTCCCCCTCCTCATCAGAGGTTCTGAACCTTGGCTGTCCTTTGGGATTGCTTGGTCACCTCCTACCCCAGGCACAAAAGCCCTGAGCCTTCCCCGTCCCCCATTCCCCCTCTTGCAGGGTCCCTTGACTCAGTAGCCCCATCCCTGGATCATCCATTGGGGCCCACATTCCTGTGGGCCTCTGACATCATGTGTTGTCACCATGTCCATTCTGGAGTCTCTCACCTGCTCCCTTGTGCCCACATTCTGCTTTTGTGCCTAGTTCCTCCTCCTGATGGCCTTTCCTCACTTTTGGGTGGATGTGGGCAGCTTCCTGGCCTTGGCTATGGGCCTCCACCCCATCTGGAGTGACACTTTGTCCCTGGATTACTGGGTCACTGAGTCAGGCAGGCAGAAGTTGCCTGAGGCCACGTTGAGTGCCTGAGCACAGTGCCTGAGCCCTGCTGAGTGAGCTCTGGCCCGGGTGTCAGACAGAACAGATAGCTGGCCACCTCTGGGGTGCCTGTCTGAACACTTTGTGTAGGCTCCTCATGCGGGAAATCACTGCAGTCTGTCCTTCCCACAGCTCAGGCAGACAGTGTGAGGGCCACACCCAACGACAAGGCTGGCAGAACCTGGCCCAGGGCCTGGGGGTGCTCAGTACCTACCCAGGCTAAGCTAGACTTCTCGTGAGCAGTGTTAGGAGCTTCCTGTGGGGTGCCAAGATCTCCAGCCACACATGTCACTCATGGCACAAAGAATTATGGATGCTGCTGTGTTCCTGACACCAAGCTGTGCGGGGGAGTGGGAGGGTGCTGGAGAGCAGTGGGTGCCATGGAGCAATGCGGTTGGTATGAAGGCAACATGAGCAGAGAGCGGCCTCACCAGGAAGGCCGTGTGGGCCAAGGAAGGCGTTTTTAAGGCAGGAGGGCATGAGCGTGTTTAAATGCTCTTGGAATGTCGAGAAGGAGAAGTGAAGACATAGGAGAGAGAAAACAGAACAGTGACGCCAGCTCCCTAAGAAGTGGGAGCCAGGGCACAGCCAGAGACTTTGACATTAGTTAGGAAGGAAAACCCCAACCCCAACCCCAACCCCAACCCTCTCTGTCGTGATCTGTAAAGGAGATGGGCAGAGAATGGGGGCATGTCAGTAAAGAGAAGGCATTCCTTCCAAGTGTTCTCAGGTTGTTTTAGTCTGTTTAGCAGGAGGTGATAGAAAATGCCGAGTGTGGGGTGAAGCAGTGAGGTCGGAGTTTGGCCGAGGTTTGAAATTGTCATTGTGGTAAAAAATGAACCTATGGCGGATATCCAACTTGAATATTGGTCATAGACTTTGAATCACCCTGACGTGCCAAGCCTGAGTGAAGACTTCCCTGGTCCATATGAACATGGGACTTGTTTTAACCAACTGTGTACAGACCCAGGAACCCGTTCTGTCCCATCCAGAGAGCTAGTTCTGCATCCTTGATCAGCCCCACGAGCCCTTCTAGAGCCTTCTGGAGAGTCTGCTGCCTCTCCCTCTCAGCAGACCTCTCAGTGGGTTTCTCTGTGGTGTTTGCTCTCTGGCCTGGTGAGTCAGCAAACGTGGATTTGTTCCTTTGTGTGTTTGAGTTCCAGGGCCTTTGTTTTATCCTTTGATCACTGGGGATGAAAGAATGAGCTGCTATGGCTGTAGTGTCTCATTCTCTCCTCATTTATTAATTTCCCTTTTCTGGTTTCCATCTCAGGGAAAACACAGGGACAACATCTGCAGATCCATCTCTCAAATTCTTCCATTTTTTTTTCTCTTCAATTATGTCTAGTCGTAGTAAATTTCTAAGTTAATGCCATTTTAAAACTTTGATCTTTGGTAAGCTCTGGCATTTTCATAATTAGTTGTTCTTGTCTTACAGCTTTTCTTTCTTTCTTTTTTTTTTCTTTCTTTCTTTCTTTTGTTTGAACCTTTCGCACAATCCTATTTTAATGTCCCGTTTAGACTTCTCTATTATCTCTACTTTCTGGGCCCTGAGTCTTATCGTTTCTTTTATCTGCTGGCTCTCTTTGGTTAGACACCTAGAATTTTTTCCCCTTGAGCTCCTTTTCAGCAGCAAATGTTCTCCAAGAGACCCCTATGCCCTGGATGGGGAAGGCATCTCCAGAGGGAGAGGGTCATGGTTGGTTTTGCTGACACCTGATAGATTCTGTTAGGTCCAGAAGGACTTTAACGCTAAGTTTTCAGCTCATATTTTCCACACCCTCTCATACCACACTGGGGACCTAGGGCCCTAATTTCCCCTCATCTGGGCACTGGCTTGGGCTGGGGTTGAGGATTCTGGTTCTGTTTTATGGGGACCATTACCCTCTGCAGCTCTGACCTAAAAGGGAGCAGATCCAGTCTCTACGTGCCTGAGGGCTGAGGCTTCACCTCTCAATGCATCTGGCCAGAGGGCCTTTGCTCTGACCAGATGTAAATATCGTGCTCAAGTCTTCAAGGCCTAATAGCCACACACTGTTGTGAATTGACTTAACTTCAAGTTTCTTCCTCCTCCTCCTCCTCTTCTTCTTCTTAAATTTCTGGCAATCAGAAAATGGCCTCTCTTGGGGCGCCTGGGTGGCTCAGTCAGTTGAGCGTCCGACTTCGGCTAAGGTCATGATCTCGCGGTCCGTGAGTTTGAGCCCTGTGTCGGGCGCTGTGCTGACAGCTCAGAGCCTGGATCCTGTTTCAGATTCTGTGTCTCCCTCTTTCTCTGACCCTCCCCTGTTCATGCTCTGTCTTTCTCTGTCTCAAAAATAAATAAACGTTAAAAAAAATTTAAAAAAAAAAAAAAGAAAATGGCCTCTCTTATGTTTAGCCAGAACTTGTGTTGAAAGTTGTGTTCAGCACTGAGGCCTCAGTGGCATAGGTTTCCCCCAGTAGTATTCAGTAGCCCAGGGCAGGCACAGAAAAGGCAAAGAACTGGTTTTATCCATGTGAATCAGAAGTTTTACGCTGAGCATGTGACACAAAGAAATGGGACCAGAGAAGTGCATCATATTGGAGTGAGGTTGGTCTAGATGCTGGGCCCTGGGGCCTGTGCTGTAAACAGAAGGGGAATGACTATGGATGGGGCATTCTGATAGGGTTAAAAAGCAATGGGGTGAGAGGAACGAGTCAGTAAACTGGGAGCATACATGGTGTTGGCGAGAGGGAGAGGTCTGAATTGTGCAGTTAAGGGATTACGGGGCTCAGGGTGCATTCAGGGGTAGGGAGATGGAAATTCAGTGCAGGAAGGTGGCCAAGAGGTCAAGGATTAAGAGGTCACGGCATTGGATGGGACATACCACGAGTGTTGAGGTTCCCTGGGATAAGAGCGGGCGTCGGACTGCATGGCTGTGTCAGCCAGGTGCCCACGTGTGCAGTCAAAGGGGAGGAGATGGGCGACTGG